GCGCCAAAACCATATTCTAATTATTATTAATACGGCCCCTACATTACACCTTCAACCCTATACGCCTAGAACCCCAAAAACCCCCCCCCCCCCCAACCCTCTCTGCCCCGAGTCGTTGATCCGAAGGTGCCTCCGGATCCCTACTCACAAAGCGGCTGGCACGGAGACGAAGCTGAGAGAGCGATGGAGGCCTTGGCTGGAACTTCCACAGTTTCCATAGGAAGAGAAGCTCATAGGGTTTAGGGTTTAGGGATGATTATCCACATAACATAGATCCCTGACTACCTAAGGGTTTAGGGTTTAGGGTTTCAGGGTTTAGGGATGATGTTCCACATAACACAGATCCCTGACTACCTAAGCTCCGTTACCAGAACCCTAAACCCTAAACCCCATAACCCCTGAGCCCTAAATCCCAGACACTTATTGCCATGCCTGCAGTTCCCTAAACCGTAAACCCTAAACACTAAACCCCATAACCCCTAAACCCTAAACCCCATAACCCCTGAGCCCTAAATCCCAGACATCAGGAGCCTTATAATCCCAAGCCCTACTTGGAGGGTCGGGGGACTTAGTAAGTAGTTGTTTTATAGGAGTTACAAGTATCCTAACCCCAATTAGGATCCCTGCTAGGGTACTTATAAGTCTACTTACTACCCACTTACTAAGTCCCCCGACTCTCCAAGTAGCCGCGTCGGCGTTCGCGCCTTCATTGCGTGGACCTGGAGGCTCACAGGTGGATGGAGGTGGGTAAGGGTTTAGGGTTTAGGATTTAGGGTTTAGGGTTTAGGATTTAGGATTAGGGTTTAGGGTTTAAAAGGGTTTAGGGTTTAGGGTTTAGGGGTGTAGGGTGTAGGGTTTAGGGTTTCTTAAGCCCCGAAGCTCTAAACCCCGAAAACCTCAACCCAAGCCTAAGACCTCGGTAAGGGCTCGACTATTTGGCTCCCTGTAGCCCTTCGGTCTTCATGAAGGGAGGGAGGTTATGAATCAGGGGCCTGAGCATTGGGATCCCTTCAACAGACAACCGTTTCTAAAGGCAGCTGGAGCTATGAGCCTTAAAGCCCCATAAGCCCTGAGCCCGAAAACCTAGACCCTATGGGTAACGTAGCTAGGTGGGAGGCAGAAATAGGGGTCACCCGGTCGACGCCCCGAAGACTTGAGCTTTTTAACTAAAAACTGTCCTGGTCGCGTGAGAGCCACTTGGAGGTTCAGGGGTAGTTATAAGTGGGGTTTTCCGTCCCCCAATACGGGTTATTTGTATCGTTTTCCTACTTATAACCCTATTTATAACTACCCATGAACCTCCAAGCAGGCAGCGGTCGCAGCCGCATCTAACGCAGATGCCAGGCTGCAGCGTGCACAGCAGGAGCAAGTTTAGCGTTTAGGGTTTAGGGTTTAGGGTTTAGGGTTTCAGGCGATTGCACAAGTCCTGATGCAAAAAGGGTTTAGGGTTTAGGGTTTGGGGTTTAGGGTTTAGGGTTTATGGTTGCGTTGCTTTCGCGAAGGGCTCTCAGTTCAGTCTTTGGAGTGCTAGGCCCTTCCACTAGGAGAACTGACATCGATGGGCTGCGTGCCTCCGAGAATTGACATCGATTGACATCAGCCGTTCGTTTTTTGACAAGGAAAGTGTAGCAGTCGTCGGCCACTGAGGAGCGCATATGGAAGGGGCAGGGGTGTCGCCGGCCCAAAAATTCTTAAATTATAGAGGAACCACTCTAAACCCTAAAACCGTGTTGTTGGATTCATTTCAACATCGATACCTTGCTGGTGGTAGCAGCAAACCGTAAGCCTAGGACGAAAGATCGTCGGGAATATCGAGGCAGACCACACCAGTAGTTCCAAAGGAACCCTATAAGCCCTAAACCCTACATGACTTGGGGAAGTATTCCCTAAATCCGCTTCTAGCTTTCAGAGTCTGAGAATTGTCCGAAGGATCCAGGCAGACCCATAGGGCTCAGGGTTTAGGGAGATCGACCTGACACAGTACGTTCAGCATACTGTTGATGATATAAGTCATGCACTACCTATAAGGACCCTAAATTATGGGAGTGATGGTATATTCCTTACTATGGCTAATGATGCAGATATATATATATATATATATAATTATAATTATATATATATATATATATAGAGAGAGATCATCATCATCATCATCAACCGTATTATGCGGATCCTTAGACCCGTTCGGGTCAAAGCCTTATGCCCATGCCCTCAACCCGGAGCCCAAAGCGCTCAGTACAAGGTCAAATCAATCGGAAAACGCTGTCCCTTCACAGCCCCTACAGAATACGATGCTGCTTTCTTAGTATACCGTAAGAAATATGGGTAGTTGTCAAAATTATGATCCCTTTTGGGGTACCCTAAATAATAGGTGCCGTATTATAATAAGGACCCCAAGCGGGACCATAATTTTGACAACCACCCATATGTTTGTCACATTCCGACCTTCCTCCAGGAGCTCATGAAGCTCCAGGACGCGAAGGCACCAGCCCAAATGCCTGCAACGGTCCCTGATCGCCAAAACGACAGCAAATCAGCACTATCTCCACAGTGCAAATGACCTACAATTTCATCGCAATCGTGGTGCCTGTGAAACAAACGAATGGACAATTATATGAATTATATGTATATTCCGTGCACTGCTCTCTTGTAGATGTCGGGACACGTCAGGGGTACTGCGGTAGCTTTTAGCTTCTGATATGCGAGGGCATGGATGCAGGAAGCGTGTTTCTGGGTATTAGGGTCGAGGGCTTCAGTTTGGTTTGTGTGCTGGTTGGCGTTCATTCTGCATCAGGTTCGTTGCAGGGTGTGGCTGGGTCCTGGGTTCTTGTGAAAGGATGTTCGCTGTTTGTTTCTACTCGTATGTATGTCTCTGTGTTGTTTGTACTTGAAGGTTCATGGGTAGTTATAAGTAGGGTTATAAGTAGGAAAGCTACACTTATAACCCGTATTAGGGGACTTATAACCCTACTTATAACTACCCATGAACCTCCAAGTAGCCCGAGCCACAATCGGAGGCGCACGAGTCGGAGAGACTCAGGGAGATGCTTGCCTGAAGAAGGTTGGAACAGCGAGTAGGTAGTATATTAGGGTTTAGAGTTTGGGGGTTTAGGGTTTAGGGGGTAATATGGGGGGCTTATAATAATTGCTTATACTCTTTTGGGGGTTCCTTTAAAGGGTTCTATAGGGGCTACTATAAGGGTTTAGGGTTTAGGGGCCATAAGAATTACCTATATACTATTTTGGGGGTTCCTTGTTACAAGTATAGTAGAATTTCCCCCAGAACCCTATTCTAATTATTGAGGCCCCTACATTATGGACAGGGTCTGGAGGTCTAGCTTTCAAGTGAAGCGGCCAAGGCAAGCGCATCATCTCGGCCGTCTATAAACCCTAAACGCACCGGAAAGCAGGTTCAGCTCCCCACAAAGCCATTCGATTCTGGCATGGCTTTTTCTTTGAAGCGGGGTTTAGTCTAGAGCGTGTGCTTGTGTTGCGGTTCTTTAGCCATTGTTTCTTTTTTTTTTGGAGGGGGGGGGGGGTTGGGGGGGAGAAGCTGATTGTAAAAGGGTACCCGAAAAAGGGACACGACCAGCTCCCTTAGATCCTAGCATGCAGCCTGTGGAGCATTTTGCTGCGTCAGAAGTTCCCGAGCAAAAAGCCCCTAAACCCTAAACCTTACGAAATATTCGAACAAGTTCCTTTAAACTCAAAACTACTTTGAAAAGGTTTTCTTCACAGACACACTGTTCAAAGTATTTTGCACAATCATGGCGTCTTTTGGAAAGACTTTGTGCTGGAACCACAACAGGAAAACTCTTCTTTACGCCAGCAATTGTGGGCTCCAGGTAAGCAATACTGGAAGTCCAACTTGTTCTGCAGGCATGTCGCATCCCCTTCAAGTGGCGAGCGAATTTCTTTCGCCAGTGCACTTTGCGTGCATTCCTTTTCCTTGTCTGCAGCTCTGCAGCCATCACTACACTACATGGATTTGGCCTTCACCCAGGCTATGAGAAAGGCTGGCCATGACCCTTATCCGATGATCGATGTCAAATGTTTTCGAAGCAGCTATTGCATGGATGGCATATCAGATTGCATCTATCCTGAAAAATACAGTCAAGCGCGCCCAGAAATCGGCCTCCAGCTCCGCACAGTTGCGCTGTCAAAAGGGTTCGTGTGGAATGAACTAAGGTTTAGGCTTTGGGTTCCAGCCTCCGTGCGAATTGGAGCTGCATGGCACACCTATACAAAGATATGAAGATATGTGCTTGAACTCTGACATCCCGAGGTACTCGGTGATGATTCCAATGAGCATTGGTGACCGAGGAACTGAAGAAGATCGGCAGATTAGTTGTCCCTCACCAAATGATAAATCTTGCACGCTACAACAACTACATGATTGCTGCCACTAACGTGGTCCACTCAATGGGGACAATTTATGGTCCCAGAAACTGGAACTTGTACCCTGACTTGTACTCTGTGGACAAGGGAACCGATGACAAACCGCAAACCACTACACTCTTGATCACAGACAATGAGAAGAATAATCATGATGACGACAAAGATTGTTGAAGAACCCGCTCGCAAGCGAACCTGCTTCATTCAAGGCGTCGTGATCAAGACGCTTGCAGGTGAAAGTTCCAAACGACGTGATCGAAAGGCTGAGGACAAACAGCCGCACTACATAGACCGACCACGAAGTTGGCTTCATTGTTCAACCGAACAACAGCGTCATGAGCTTTATCTCTAGCAGATGAAAGATGGTTGGCGCATTGTCCTGGCACCCTACAGTCTTTTCTGCCTCCCCGGTCTGCCTCGACACACTCCACGCGCGGACGTCAACCTCTTCACCCGTCGCAACATCCTCGATTGCACGCTCTATACGGTTTACATCACAGGGGCATGTGAACGAGTGTGCTGCGCACTGCATGGTCAGGCATGATCTGTTGGTACGTGATCAGAGGTGACTGCTTGGGAATTACTGGCTTGTGAGGACTGGCAAGAGGATGAAGAATTGGTTGCGTGTGCTCCTGGCATGACTTTTGTGAATGGAGAAATTGCACGGGAAGAAGCTTGAGTGTATGCACGAACCCGAATTTTGGGAAAGTCGGAAGTGTGAGTGCAAACCGAGCGTAAGTGCAAATGCTGTCAACTTCGCAGGTCCTTCTCTCAGGCCGGAATTAGGTCGTGGG